TTTCCAAGCGATACAAGGCGTTGTCTATATAAGACTCAAACTCACTGCGGATCCAGACATTTGAATTGAGAAAGCTTCCTGGAGAGGTGGAGAAACATATTCAAACCTTAAAAACCAAGTCCAGTGGATATTTTTTGAATTTTTACGGAATGACTTTGACCTGGATGACTGAGAACCTTCATCAGCATATGTCTTAAGTTGTGTTTATTTTTTTCCCGTTATCTTATTCAGGCCAGTTAGTTCTACGTCAGCCTAAACACCTAAATTCGGCCATTCATATATCAATGGTCATCTGTCATCACATTTTTTCGGTCATAGCATCTTAATTCATACGTTGCAGCTAATATACACAACGGTTGAAATAAGAAATCAGAGTAATTTCCTTTACCATTGAGTTCCGTCCCAGTTTTCACGGGGATGGACGTTTGTGTCTTCGGCAGTGTTTATTTCATCAGCTTTTTTAAAATTAAGTCTTAGTCACAATGACAAAAATTTATTTTAGTCTTAGTCATATTTATTCATTGCCTTCCGGATTTAGTTTTAGTCTTAATCTGAATGACGAAAATCAATTTAAGTCCTAGTCAAATTTTAGTCATTTTAGTCATCACTGTAATAATAGAACTTCTGCACACACTGTTTTTTAACATATCACACTGTACAGAATAAAAAATTTTCACACACTGCTTCTCTTTTTCTCTTTTATTTATATAACACTGTGCAGAATAGAACTTCACACACTGATTCTCTTTTTAACATATATCCCACTGCACACATTGAACCTTTTGTCGGTTTGTTTCATCATATGCACAAAGTCTTCATCCTCAATGGTCCTTGCAGGCAGGCCAGAACGCCCAATCCACTTTTCCACTGAGATCTGCAGGGCTTTCTGCTCTTTGGCGTCAGGGGTGGGGGTGCATCTCTGCAACAGACTTCCCTTCCTTCCCCAACCTCTGATTTGGCTGTGGTGTCACTGTGTCAGGTATCTAGTTGGGAGGAAAAAATTTAAACGATTAATATCCAGTTTATCAGTTGAACATCTTTCTTCTATGACAGGGAGACAGACAGATACAGGCACAGGAAGGCTCACACACTCAGCCACATGCATACCCCCGTCCCTACTACTACAGGCCCACCCGTTCATTACCTTTGTCCATATGTCAGCTGTTGGCACATCCGAAGTCGGTAGAGATTCGCTGTGTTCTTCCCTGCCATGTTGAGGCTGCAGACTCTGGTGGCGTCCTGCCTCAGGTGTTTTCCTTTGTGTTGTAAACGAAATGGCTCCATACATCCAGGCATTGTTTAACAAACCGCACACAGGTATCTGCAATGACTGCGAAGTTGAGCTATGAGTATAAGCCCTCTGCTACTACTGACTGAGTGGCACGAGGGACTGTGGGACAGGCGCCGTGCAGGGGCGAGCAGGGCAACAACGGGTAGTCTTCTATGAAGCTCAAGAAACACTTATATTAACAATTACAAATTCATTATAAACAATTACATTTATTAATGTCCATTCGTCAATGGATCGTAAATTTCGTCTGTCTTCCATCATATTTTTATTTTCTGGAAACAATTTTTGTGCGTTTTCGTCTCGTCACCATCAC